CGTAACCCCTAACCTCCTCCACCAACACTCCTCCAACACCAACATGCCAGTTGATTCCAAGGTCCATGCAGCTCAAAGGCAGAAAAGCTCAGTTGTCAGTCTGTTTGCCTGCCATCCATGTACCCATTCACTGATCTGTCTACCTAACCACTTATCTATCCATCCATCCATCCATCCATCCATCCATCCATCCATCCATCCATCCATCCATCCATCCATCCATCCATCCATCCATCCATCCATCCATCCATCCATCCATCCATCCATCCATCCATCCATCCATCCTCCCAACCACCCATCCATGTACCCATTCACTGATCTGTCTACCTAACCACTTATCCATCCATCCATTCATTCATCCCCTCAGCCACCCACCCGTGCACCCATTCACCCATCTACTTATTCATCCACCCATCCATCCATCCATCCATCCATCCATCCATCCATCCATCCTCCCAGCCACCCACCCATCCATGCACCCATTCACCCATCTATCCACCCATCCACTAATCCATCCATCCATCCTCCCAGCCACTATCCATGTACCCATTCACCCATCTATCCACCCATCTACTTATTTATCCATCCATCCATCCATCCATCCATCCATCCATCCATCCATCCATCCATCTTCCCAGCCACCCATCCATGTACCCATTCATCCACCCATCCACCCATCTACTTATTTATCCATCTATCTATCCATCCATCCATCCATCCATCCATCCATCCATCCATCCATCCATCCATCCATCCATCCATCCATCCATCCTCCCAGCCACCCATCATCCATTCACTCACTTGGCACTTCTGGTGCCTTCTTTGTACCCGGCCTGGGCCCCTTGCAGGGTCTGTTCCTTGCAGGGTCAGCACTTTCCCACTTGGCAGTGGCTCCTACAGAACGTGGACGGTAAATGAGTGCTGCCCAAGCGTGGAGACACCGACACCTGTGCTGGGGGTCATTTTAGGGAGCACGTAAATGGCCCCTAGGAGCCTGCAGGTGAATGTGTGGGAGGTGGGGATGTGGGTGCCCGGCTCTGAGTCCAGCCTTGGGGTGAGGACAGCTGTGTCCCAGCACATGCCTTGGGCAAGCTCTGTTCCAGGCACCCCCACAGCTGGTTCTGCATCTCAGGAAAAGGACCTGCCCTGGACTCGTCTAGAAAGCCAGTGGCTCCGGCAGCCATAGTCTCAGCTGCCCCTGTGGGCTGTGGGCTGTGGGCAGGCACGTTTGGGAGGGTGGGAGGTGGACTGTGGTGGGTGGAGAGGACTCGCACCATCTGAAGAAGGGCAACCAGCCCCAGTCACACGTGAGAGGTGACACGGTGAAAAATGGAGCCGGGTCATCAATGGGGGAGAATTTTCAAGAGAACAGCAAGCCAGGATTTTTATGTGGATTTAACTGGTTTTTGTATATTAAATTCACTCAAATATCAACTAATTCTGAACCTATCAAACAGAGGTTGTGGGCTGGATGTAGCTCACACCAGCCTCCACCCTCTGGGGAGGGCTGCCCAAAACCCCACCTCAGACGCCGGGGGACAGACTCCTGCCCATTCCCACACCATCCAGGGGCCAGAAGCAAAAGTGTTCGGCCCTAGATGCCACAGGGCCTGGGTGTAAGAGATGGCTGTGCAGCCTGCTGTGTGACCACAGTGGATCTCTGACCCTCTCTGGGCCTCCTTGTGCCCGCTGTGAAGTAATGGCACTGACCGACCAGCTGATCTCTGGGGAATCCTTCCACTGTGAGATTGCTAGTCTTTCTGACATTGTTGCTCTTTCTCCACTACTTCTACCACCCCTGTCCAAGCCTACCCTCGCTCACCTGGACTTGTGCAGCTCTCTCCTCTTGGGCTTCCCACCCAACAGCTGCAAAGACTAAGATGTGAATCAGATCCTGGCACTGCCTGGTTAAAACCACCCTTACTTTGCCATGGCACTTAGCACCAAGCTCACAGTCCTCACGTGGCCGGGAGCCCCTGCGTGAGTTGGTTCTGGTGGCCTCCCCTGCCCTTTGCTCTAGCCACGCTGTCCTTGCTGCTCCTAGAGTTAGCCCAGCACACTGCTGCCTCAGGACCTTTGCACTGGCTGTTCCCGCTGCCTGAACTGTCCTGCCTTCCTCTCCAGGGTTTTACGTTCTGGCTCCTCATTACTAGCTCCCCAGGGCCCTCCCTGACTAACGCAGTCTGTCCGTGGTACCCCCTGTTTATGTTCATCAGCACCCCTTTCTTCCTCTGAAGCTATCATGTTTTGGTGTTCATTTTCTGGTTCAGCATCTGGCGCCCTCTGCAAGAAGCCATCCCCCGAGAGCAGGGGAGGTGTCTGCTTGGTCCATGGCTCTCTCTGTGAGTGTGGCATGAGTGAATGTCTGTAGGGCCTGAGTGCCAGCCTCCATAAGGTCTTGGCTTAGGTGCTACGGAGCCTGTGATCTTGGGCAAGTCACCGCCCCGCTCTGACACTGTGTCCTCATCTGTCAAATGGGGCAGGTGCCACCATGAGCCCTCGGGCTTCAGGGAGGACCCAGGAGAGGGAGGGGTTCCTGCGACACTGGCCCTGGGTGCTGCCCTCGTTTAGGACCTAGAGTGCGGTCCCAAAGGTTCAGAAGGCCTTTCTTGACCGCGAGTAACCAGGACACTGGGCGCTTGCGGTTTGCAGAGGTTTTCTTGGGGACGGAGGCACATGGCCACCAGAGGGCGCCCGAGGCTTGCGGCTGGCAGGGAAGGCCCTGGAGGTGTGCGGGACCCCGCTAGCCTGAGCGGCTCCTGAGGCGAGTGTCCAGCTGACAGGGTGTGCTGCCCGCTGAAGTTTGATATTACAAATGCCCCTTCTTTCACCAAATGATGGTGGTTCTCGGTGGTGGTTTAAAAGCAGGTGCCCTCAGCCACAGGAAAACACTGGTGACTCTAGGTTGGTCCCCGAAAGGTTGGCGGGAAGGTTTAGCTCCATGAAATCCCAAATACTCTATTGGGTGGGATCAGGGGTCAGGATTTGGGGTTCATGGACGAGGCTGCTGGGAAGGTGCGACAACTCCCATCCCAACACACATGTGTGCACACACAGACACAAGGACATATAAACACATATAAACACATGCACATACGTGCACACACAAGCCCCTGCACACAGACATAGGCACACACAAATACACACTTGCACACACACAAGCACAAATGCCAGTAAACACATAAGCACATATGTGCACACACAAGCCCCGGCACACACACATGCACACATGCACACATACACCCCTGCACACATGTACACATACACACGTGCACACGCACACACTCAGAGGGGAAGTCCCAGGAACACCCACAGCACTCCATGTGTCTCACCAAAGACGACGGATGCCCCCAAGTCCCTCCCGAATTCTCAGCTCCGCCCTGGGGCTTGGGACACGGGGAGCCCGGGGAGCCTCCCGGGGCAGATGTCACCGGACGGTGTTCCGTGAGGACGGTGCCACGCACACACATTTACTCAGGGGAATGTCTAGCCACGGCTTCCGGATCTGTGCACATTCACGTAAAAAAAAAAAAGGTTTCCATGAGAGGATTTTGGTAATCACCTAGTTTTTAATACAATATTCGTATACAAAACCCTCATTTCACACAACTTCCTGTACACAAGAACACAGAAGCATCCGATGGCGCGATTTTAGCACATAGGGACGTCGCCGCCTGCAGACTATGATCAGGGCAGGCAGCCGGCCCCACGATCGCGACAAACGCCGTGTGTCTCCTTCTCTCCCGTGTTTCTCTGGGTGCTCGAGGCTTGGACCCCCCGTCACCCACAAGACCTGTGTACACAAGCTCTTAAAATCCTAACTCTCCAACAGTAACATTCCTGTGAGTAAAAATATAGAGAAGTGTTACCAAAATAGAAGACTTTATTAATAAAAATCTTTGGTAGTAACAGTATTTTAAATTCCTCTCAATGATACTTGGTTAACTAGTAAAAGAAATTCCTTCCACCTTTGAGCTACAGGAAAAAAAACCCTTCAAATCCACCGTAGAATCGATTAAAAAAACAACAACAAACCCTCAATAAATATCCTAAAGCTGTGACCGAACCCTGGGAGCCGTTAGACTTCCTGAAACCACTGTCGCCCCTACATGCCTCCGGGTGACCGCTCACTGCCTGCTGTCCTGTCGCTGGGCTTTGCCCATGAGGAAAGGGGACAGCTGTGAGGCCAGCTCCCGGCGCG